GCTCTTCATTTTCAGTAACACGGCGCCTGTCTGACAAATATGGAGGGTAGTTAAGTTATAACTTATCAATATATTGTTTCCGACCAAAAATTTAAAAACAAGCAATTCGTACATCACTATTTCATTCACTTTTCGTCGGTTGTTAATGTGATGTGCTCGTCAACGAACTTAAGGCCATTTTAGAAACGCTTATACTTCTTGTAAACCCTTGTTTTACTTAAGCTCACTTAAAGTTTTTATATAGTACATATATATTTGTAAATTATTGCTGGACTTTAATTCATTCTTATAGCAAAATGATGCTAACATACGAAAACCTTCGGGTGACCTAATGCCTGAATTCCAATATTTTCCTTTCATATATTTTAGGTAAAGAAACAATTAATATTAACAGAACTAATAACGTACGATGTATACTTCAAAAAATAAAACTATTCTTAGAAGAAACAAAATATTAGCAACAATTTTTAAAGAATAAAATTTTTATTTAAGATATAAAAAACTCTAAAATTCTTAAATTATTTAAATCCACTTACTATAACTGGGTTCCTAGGTTCCCAGTTCAGCACTCGACTAATTGCTCGTAAACTAGAAATAGTGTATTACATTTACTTTAAAATTATATATAGGTATCTTATAATATTTTTTTAATTGCAGTTTCTTAAATATAAAAAATTAATATGTGATATAAATGTTTTTATCATACTGTCATAAGTTTTAAAGGAGGTGCGATTAAATTCTAGCTGTCTAGAATCTTATCTTACGGTAAAAAATTTAAACGTGGCTAAATAAATTTTGTGTTGCTACGTTTTTCGGATAAACCGGTGAGGGTCTGTGATTCTTTATTTATTTGTCTGGCAACAAAATTAATATAAGATTGCCTTAAATAAAACATGATTTAATACCCAAAAACACCGTAAACAAAAGATTAAATTTATCGTTGAACTTTATTATATAACTTATTAATAATCCCGGAGCATTCGCTATTTTTGAAAGTCTACCATCGTAGCCCATGTTGCGTTTGTTACTATGTGACCCCTTATATCGCAAATAATTAAAAAAAATTAAAATATTGGTTTATTTATGTGTATACTTTGATAAAATGTATACTTTACATCAAAATATTTTTATAAGAATTTTTTCGAGAGTGAAAAGCAAAAATTTTAAAATTAAATTGTTTAAAACAGTAACAAAAAAAATGTGTGAGTCTAAAACTTAATAAACTAAACCTAACATACCAAGAAACATAATAATAGCAATAATAAATGTCTTTATTTATTTTTTTAATATCTAAGATTAAAAAATTGACATATCTGTTTCAGATAGATAAAAAATTATATATTTATTACAACCCTTAAAAATGGGGGTATAAAAATGAAATTATTTTTACTCGGCCAAGCAGGTAATACACAAATTTGCCATGTGTTCTTTGCATGCGTGATGGCCACATTTTGCACAAGCATTTCTTGTAGGCTGGCCGCGATTTCTTGGGCAAATATGGCATATTTAAAAGGTTGAGGTGATCTGTAAAGGTAGAGTGAAAGCATTCTCGAGGGATGATGATGACTGCAAAATATTTTCACGAAATCCTTTATAAATTTACGGTAGTACCCTAATAGGCCTAAAAATTCTTTTAACCGTTTGGTTTTTGGAATTGGGTATTCGGTTATTGCTCTTATCTTATCAGGTTTTGGTTTTATGACTTCGTTGTCCTAAATAATTTATTTATTTACTTTTCTTCCACAAAGATTCACATAAAAATAAACCATACTAGATATAGAACATAAAGTTAATAATTAAATTGAATTACAAACATTGAATAACTCATTTTTCCGGCCAGATCGACAGGAATCCGACCGGATCGAAATTGGTGCCGGATTGCAATCCCTACGCGCGCCTTACTGTGCAAATTTTTTTTCGGGTACAAAGTAAAAATCATATTTTTATGTGAAAGTCAAAAAATGGTGAAATGAGATCAAGATTAATTTTATAGGCACCTTACGAGATTTGTAAGTAAATTAAAAGTAATATAATTTAATTTAATCACTTTTGATGTTGGTATAAATTAAAAAGATCTGGATAACTGGAATAAATGCCCTTTGCGTTTATAAAGAAAACCATCCCCAAGAAAAACTATCTAGAAGTAAATTTATTGACAAGTTTGCTTGGAAATTGATCATGCCACAGATAGAAGTAAGATCAACTGTTGTCTCTTTACCGGTGGAGCTGAAAAGACGAGCGCGTACTCTTTTTGTATTGGAAGTGGTTTTAGCCACCGTTCCCATTCGGCATGAATGTCAAAATTATTTTGGTCGATGCCATATTTGCAATAAGAAACAAGAAAGAACACATGGCAAATTTGTGTATTAACTATTTGGCTGAGTAAAAATATTGTCATTTTCATACCCCCATTTCTAAGGGTTGCAATAAAGTGAAAATAATTTTAATGTTTCTTGGGATGTTTTATTAAGTTTTAGACTCACACATTTTGTTGTTGTTATTTTAAACAAACACGTGTTAATTCAAGTATAAAAATGTAAAGATTTTGCTTTTCACTTACTACAAAATATTTATAAAAGTATTTTGATGTAAAGTAAATATCTTATCAAAGTATAAACATAAATAAACCTATATTTAAACATTTTTTAATGATTTGTTATAAAAGGGGTCACAAACGCAAAATGGGCTGCGATCGTAGACTGTGTGACCAACCACGTTACAAAATACCGCGCGCCTACTTTACTATTTGAGTACAGGGAAAAAATGTCTATTAATTTTTATTATAATATACATGGTGTTCCATTGATGATTTGCCAAGTTTGTATTTTTTTCCTTTGCTATATTCATTTGTTATTTTACGTACAATTTTCTGGCGATTTAGGACAAACCCTATAGGGTTGTATACAACTTATTTATTTAATAAACAGTAGGCGCTGTCTAAATATATGGAATCACCCTGTACATACCTCGTATATATGTAAAACTGTAAAAATCGCTGATGTCGAGGCAGATAGGTGGCAGGTTTGGCGCCTTTTGCCTCCCTTGGCATGTTAAAAAAACTTTAAAAAATGGCGAATGCGCCGGGATTATTAATAATAAGTTCAACGATAAATTTAAGCTTTTGTTAACGGGTATTAAATCATGTTTTGAAAAACGTAGCAACACACAATTTATTTAGCCACGTTTAAATTTTTTACTGTAAGATAAGATTCTAGACATCCAGAATTTAATCGCACCTCCTTTAAAACATGTGACTTAATACAGTAAAAACTTTTATATCACAACATTAATTTTATTAGGAAACTGCAATTAAAAAAATATTATAAGATACCTATGAGGGTGGTTCTTATTTGACCGATGCATCGCGATGTCGAAATTTTAATCGTGCCGCCCCCCATTTGTTGTTAAAAATATAAAAAGAATGTATGCCAAATTTGAATGGCCTAACTTATTTCCTTCTATTGCCTGTAAGAAGGAGAAGTTTTCCAGATAGAGGATTTTTGCCTTTAATGTATTAATTTTTTTTAATTACTATTAATCTATGAAAAAGTATAATTTTTTGAGGAAATTTAGAGGACATTAGTTAATTTTAAACAAAAAAAAGAAATCATGTATTTTCTTTTTTACTTCGCTCGATTATTACTTACAGTTTTTCATATAGTGGATTTTTGCTTTAAAACGTAATAATTTTATAAAATCATTAATAATTAATGAACAATTCTAATTTTTTGAGTAAATGAAGGAAAAATATGGTACTTTTAAACAAAAAAAAAAGAATTCATGTATGTCCATCGTAAGGTTTTTTTTACTTCCCTCAATTATTACTATTATTGTTATTTTATTGAAAATGGCATATAAAATCAAAATATCAGTGATAACTTGCATTTAATGCATAATTAGTGTGCTTTCAAACGTAATTTTGTACTTTTCTAATGTTGGTGCTACTTAAATATCTTTTAGGCAATCTTAAATTATTTGTTTTATAAAAAAAATTATTTAAGATTACCTAAAAGATATTTAGGGAGCACCAACATTAGAAAAGTACAAAATTACAATTATGTAAATAATGAAATTGATTTTTAGATTGTTTTCAATTTATTTTAAAAGAAATTGTTTACACCAGTCTTTTTTTTGCGTCTAGAAATGCTTTTCGAAACTCTGACACAAGCTGTACAACAAATTCTTTCTGGTCTTCATTGTGTGTTATGGTGGAGTTATACTCATCAAATAAATGCACAATTCTTTCGGCAGCATCGTTAACGATTCTCAGCTGAGTTACAGTTTTTAAACCGTTTTGATAATTTTCGTCCTGAGGCCACATAGTCGGATCGATTTTCAAAAAAGTGTCATCGATATCCCATCGCTGAAAGAATCTTCTTGCTTGTGGTGTTATAATATATTATTGTACTGCTTGTGTCAAAAGTTTCGAAAAGCATTTCCCGACGCAAAAAAAGACTGTTGTGTACAATTTTTAAAATACCAAAAACCTAATTATCTGGGTTTTATTTTGTTTATTTTTTTTTGCCATTTTAACTATGTTTAACTTTCTGTAAAAATAAATTGTTCGAAAACAATCTAAAAATCAATTTCATTATTTACATAATTGTAATTTTGTACTTTTCTAATGTTGGTGCTTCCTAAATATCTTTAGCACCAACATTGGAAAAGTACAAAATTACGTTTCAAAACACACTAATTCTGCATTAAATTAAAAGTACCATATTTTCCCTTTATTTCCTCAAAAAATTAGAACTGTTCATTAATTATTAATGATTTTTTGAAATTATTGCGTAACACAAAATAACCTCAAAATGTCAAGTACTTGTGGAATTTGTGCTAAGTCTATTTATGCGAATGCACCCTGTATTAAGTGCACCAAATGTGATAAATGGGTGCATAAAAAGTGTACTGGGTGTTCGGACGAGGAGTACTCTAAAATTTGCACTGAAATTAAGAAAGATCGTCTGAAATGGATATGCAGCACATGTCCGAGTGAGGTTATGCCTCTACCTGTGACAGAATCAACCGATATTCCTGCCGATAGCCTCAATATGTCTAACCTGGAATCAGCGCTAACTAAAGTCTTAACTCCTTTTAAGGCAGAAATAAAGGAAGCATTAAATTCCTACTGCCAAAAATTGGATAGTCTTACAGTTGTTATAAACAATGTGTTGGAGGAAAACAAAGGTTTAAAGGAACAGAGTACAATACTATCCAATAATCTGGTAAAGGTGGAGGAAGAATTGGACTCCGTCAAGTCTAACTTGTTAAATATTACCGAAGAAGCAGTATATGAAGTACACCAAAGGCAATTAAGATCAAAAAATATTATAATCTATAATGTACCTGAATCTACTAACTCAAACAAGCAGCAAAGAACTCAAAATGAGAGTGAGATCATAAAAAACCTAATTTCTACGAGAGTAGATATAAATTGTGATAATCTGAAATGCTTTCGTCTAGGCAAATACTCAGCAGGCAAAATTAGACCTGTGAAAGTCGAACTAATGTCGTCAGATGATGTACTTAAAGTATTAAAAAGTAATCGAGGAAATGAGAATTCTGATATTTCTTTTAAGAACGACTTAACTCTTATACAACGTAATCATCTAAAAAGGCTACGGGAGGAACTGCAAGTCTTAAAAAACAGGGGGGATGACTCACACACTATTAAATACATTAATGGAGTACCTAAAATTGTTGTTAAAGAAAATTTTCAATTGTAAGCAGTTATGATACTCATCTAAACATAATCTATCAAAATGTGCGTGGCCTTAGAACTAAATTGAACAGTTTTCTAGCTTGTGTTAGTGATGGGCTGTACGATGTTCTATGTGTGAGTGAATCATGGCTAAACTATAACTTTTTCGATGGTGAAATAGTGGACGACTCTTATAATATTTTTAGATGCGACAGATCACAATTAACAAGCAATAAATCAAGAGGAGGGGGTGTTTTCATTGCTGTAAAAAAAAAATACAAATGCTTTATATTGGATACCACGGGCCCGGTTGAGCAAGTTTTTGTGAAGATAACTATTAATAATAAATCTCTTGTAATTGGATGTGTTTACATCCCACCATCGTCCACCTCCAATGTTTACCAGTCCCACATGGACACGGTTGACTCACTTACTAGTCAACACACTAGATCATCTTTTGTTGTGGTTGGTGACTACAATCTTCCTAACCTAAGATGGACAGAGGGGGAGTACACAGGGATTGAGGTTATGTCCGACTCTGAAGCTGTCGTCTGTGATAACTTTGCATTTATGGGATTCACTCAATATAATATGATCAAGAACAACTTTGACAAGCTTTTGGATCTTTGTTTTTCTAACTTGAATATTAAAGTAACAGAAGGGTCTCCACTAGTACCTCCAGACGCATACCATCCCCCCATTGAAATTGAAATACCACTGAGCGATTCACCATGCATGGAAGAGGACAGGCGGTGGTCTTACGTTTTTGAAAGAGCTGACTTAAATGCTATCAACGATTTTTTATTAAACTGCAGTTGGGTTGACCTTTATTCTGAGCCGGATATCAACAGGAAAGTTGAAATTATGTACTTTTTTATTAATCAAGCTATTGATATGTTTGTACCACGTAAATGGCATTTTACTAGTAAATTTCCCTACTGGTTTAACAGTGAACTCAAAAAATTAACAATTTTAAAAAAGCAAGCCCACAAGCAATACAAAATTACTGGCTCCCAATATCATTATGAAACTTTCGCCAATTTTCGTAGACGATGCAAATTATTGCAGTCAGAATGCTATGGCAACTATATCTCCAACGTGGAAGGGTACATTACCTCTAATACTAAATATTTTTGGAACTTCATAAACAAAAAAAAGAAACCAAATGGGATCCCAGAAACAGTACACCTTGGAGGGAACTATGTGGATGCAGGACAAGAAGCCGCAAATCTGTTTGCATCTCACTTTGAGTCAGTTTACAATGGGGAAATACACGATAGCGAAGTATCCCAGCTTTCTAAAACAAATATGGTAGATCTGTCATCTGTCTGTATATCTCTTACTGAACTTTCTAAAATTTTATCCAATCTTGACGTTCACAAGGGCTCTGGTCCAGATGGGGTGCCCAATAAGTTTTTAAAGTTCTGTTCTCTTCCTTTAAGTGAACCACTTCTTGAAATATTTAACTCCTCACTTAAAAGTGGTATTTTCCCAACCTGTTGGAAGCAGTCTTACGTGGTTCCTGTATTCAAAAGTGGTGACAGATCTGATGTTAAAAATTACAGGCAGATTTGTATTATTTCAGCAATACCTAAAATATCTGAAAAAGCGGTTCTGCCTGCAATTTCCTTTGCATTCAAAAATATTATTATTCCCAATCAACATGGCTTTTTTGAAGGTCGTTCTACTGCCACCAATCTCTTTTTGTACACTAATTTTATCTCCAAATGTATGGACCAAGGTCATGAAGTTCACTCTATCTACACTGATTTCAGTAAAGCCTTCGATAAAGTCAACCATGAAATACTTATTAATAAGTTGTCTATATATGGTGTTGGTAATCCTCTACTATCTTGGATATCCTCATATTTGAACAATAGAACCCAGCAAGTGGTTCTGAATGGATTTAAATCAGGCAATATTCATGTCTCCAGTGGTGTTCCCCAAGGCTCCCATCTGGGACCTATGCTCTTCAGTATTTTTGTCAACGATATTGGACTTGATTTCGATTCTTCTTTCCTACTTTTTGCTGATGATCTAAAAATATACAGATGCATACAATCTTCAGCCGACATAGACCGCCTACTTGCCGACTTAGATGCACTCAATATCTGGTGTATAAAAAACAAGTTATCCTTGAACGTAGACAAATGCTTAGTCATGGTATTTACGAGAAATAAAAACCTCACCTTCCAAGAGTACCACATTGCAAACGATAGACTCAAAAGAGCGGATTCTGTTAGAGATTTGGGGGTTCTTTTAGATTCAAAATTATCATATATTAATCACTATGATTCTCAATTAAACAAAGCCTCAAAATTGTTGGGTTTTTTAACAAGAACAACTTCTAATTTTTCCAACACCAGATGCCTGACTATCCTCTACTCAGCACTAGTTAGATCTCAGCTCGAATATGCATCTGTCATTTGGTCTCCATACTTTGAAATACACAAAAGAAGAATTCAAGCGGTTCAGGACAAATTTCTTAAAACTCTTACCGGTAAATTGAGACTGAATGGCATAGTACTTAATGATACTCAGACAGCAGAATATGCAGGGCTTTTATCCCTTGAGCGTAGGCGAACCTCGTCAGACTTGTGCTTTTTCTTCAAAATTATCAATGGTCTTATTAATTGCCCCGATATTTTGGCAGATTTTAACATCTTTGTCCCTCCTAGAGCAATTAGGCATAAGCCTCTTCTATGGGCCCAGCACAGCAGAACTGTGCATGGAGCTAATTCACCGATCCATCGAATTACCAGAACTGTCAACGATGCCAACTCCAGCATTGATTTCTTTGGGACCACACTCGAGAAATTCAAGAACTGCCTCAAGCATGTGATGTAGCTTAACCTCTGTAACTTAAGTTTCCATACTAATTAGTACGGATCCTATGATCTTATTATCTATTAATTGATTTGTTAAGTTTTTAATATTATATCAAGTTAATTTAGTTTTATTTAATTTTCTGTATCTATACTATTTTTGCTTATTTCATTTGTAATATGCACGATTTTTCACATGTACTTACCTTTTCTATTGTAACTGCTAAATGCGTTAAATAAATAAATAATATAATATATATATATATATATATATATATATATATATATGAAAAACTGTAAGTAATAATCGAGCGAAGTAAAAAAAACCTTAGGATACAAATACATGATTACTTTTTTATTTTGCTTTAAAGTAACTTATATCCTCTACATTTTCTCAAAAAATTAAACTTTTTCATAGATTAATAGTATTTAAAAAAAAATACATTAAAGGCAAAAATCCTCTATCTCGTTTTTACAGGCAATAGAAGGAAATAAGTTAGGACATTCAAATTTGGCATACATTTTTTTTATATTTAAAAAAAAATGAGGGGGCGGCACGATTAAAATTTCGACATCGGTCAAATAAGAAGCACCCTCATAGGTATGTTATAATATTTTTTTTATTGCAGTGTCTTAAATCTAATAAAATTAATATTGTGATATAAACGTTTTTACTGTATTAGGTCACAAGTTTTAAAGGAGGTGCGATTAAATTCTGGATGTCTAGAATTTTATCTTAGGACATTCAAATTTGGCATACATTTTTTCAATATTTTTTAAAACAAATGAGGGGGCGGCACGATAAAAATTTCGACATCGGCCAAACAAGAACCACCCTAATACCTATTACAGGGTGTTTCATAATATATGCGCAGGACTTCAGGATGTGATAGCTCATCCAAAAAGATGAAAAAAGTCGCTATTAACTTACCCTCTAAAATGCACAATTTTCGAGATACAGGGTGTTGAAATTTTAGAAAAATAATCGTTTTTTTCGATTATCTCTGGAACCGTTTGTCGTACAAAAAACAGCTTTTGTAAGCATTTTCTACTCATAATAAGCTATGTTTTGTGCCAGAAAAATTTTTTTTTTACTCATAATTGGTGGAGATTTTGAAGGGGTAGCAGGTGTTTTTCTCCTCAACTTCAACGCCCCTGAGAAAAGTACAATTTTGAGAGGCCCATTCGAACGGCCAATGTTTTCTACACTAAAAAGGTACTCTTGGTCATAAGCTCTAAAGTTGACCGTTTTCTAGAAAAATCAACTTTTATGTTTAAAAACATAGTCAATTTTTTGAAAAAAAATTTTTATTATTAATTAAACAAAATTTATTTTAACGTTAGAAAAAGTAACAAAACCAAACGATAATTGCAAAATTGAAAAAAAAATAAAAAATGATTTTTTACACAAATGCTGAAATGTTCTAAATGCGTTACCTTTACGGTTTGGAGAATTTAGCAAAGACAACTTTTGAATCATTTTTTATTTTGCAATTATGGTTTGGTTTTGTTACTTGTTCTAACGTTAAAATAAATTTTGTTTAATTAGTAAAATAAAATTATTTTTTTTTTAAATTGACCATGTTTTTAAACATAAAAGTTGATTTTTCTCGAAAACGGTCAACTTTAGAGCTTATGACCAAGAGTACCTTTTGTGTGTAGAAAACATTGACGGTTGGAATAAGCCTCTCAAAACCGTACATTTTTTAGGGGCGTAGAAGTTGAGGAGAAAAACACCCGCTAGCCCTTCAAAATCTCCACCAATTATAAGGAAAAAAAAAATTTCCTGGCACAAAATAAAGCTTATTTTAAGTAGAAAATACTTACAAAAGCTGTTTTTTGTACGATAAACGGTTCCGGAGATATTCGAAAAAAACGAATTTTTTTCAAAAATTTCAACACCCTGTATCTTGAAAATTGTGCATTTTAGAGCGTAAGTTAATAGCGACTTTTTTCATCTTTTTGGATGAGTTATCACATCCTGAAGTCCTGCGCATATATTATG